CAATTCACAGTGAAACCTCTCAAAAAGCCCAAACACCTGTCCTTTGTGTCTGAGTCTTTTTAATATTTGGCTTTAAAAACACCACATACACTGTCAAAATAGATTCCTTCTGTGTAATTACTGAAAGGCAGTATTTAATTCCTTGTTTTTGAACTTGTACCCTTGTAATTTGGATAAGTGTAACCACATTGCTAAGCATCCTGTCTCTATAAACAATCCTGAGCTTGAAAATAATCATTACACCACTGCAGCATCTTCTTCTTTGTTTCACCTTTCCACCCCTGATACATGCCAATAGTATGACCTTCATTTTAACACAGGGCTTTCTTCAACTCAGTATTTGCTTACTTTTAGTATAGCTTACTGAAAATGCCACACCACAAGGACAAAGAAGTGCTTGCAGAGGATGCCACTGCACGCTCTTCATAATGATTTGAAGAAAAATGTTATCAAGCATGCAGCGCCTTCCATTTTAACTTTTTGAGGGAGAATCACAGATACTCAAATGCAACACAAAGGCAAAAGTGGATGCCAACTGGATACACCAAAGCAACAGCCACACCCCAGTGCTGGGGCAGCACAAAGCAGCAGAGTGCTCGTGCGTCTCACCCATAATCACTCATCGACCTGGAAGAAAAGTTGTGCTGCCCAGGACGTCACTGGGGAGCCCAAACCCCACCTCCAGCTCCCTGTGATTTAAAAACTGCTTTTGGGGTCTTCTCCCAGCTTTCCCAGAGCAGACAGTCTGACTCAGTGGGGAAGGCAGCAGTGCTGGAGCCCTTCCTTGCATCCAGCGCTGTGTTCCAGGCTTCCCAGTTCTCTGGGGAGGGGTATTGCCAGGGCCAGGTATCCCCGTGGGTGCATCAGGACCCAGTGTCCAGGCACCTGCAGCTGCACAGCAGCAGAATTGGTGCCGGAGTCTGGGGAGCTCCACTTCAGAGCTGCTGTGCTGCTGCAGCTGTGACTGCACTGGCTCCCAACCCAGCCTTAACAACTGGACTTGGCAGTCATCAACTTAGCTGAGTAAGATCATCGGCTTTCTAATACAGCTTGTCCACCAGGTTTTCAGCAATCTTAACTGCATGAAACCTGATAATATCTGGTACACTAAGCAGCCTAATTTTTCCAGTTCAGCTGAACATTTTTCATTTGCATACACTTTGCATACATTTTCAGCTGCAGCATCTTCCCTCTTTGCTGCATCTTCCTTCCTGCTTCCTCCTCTGTTTGCACAACATCTCACTGCTTTCTTCCTGTGTTTTGACTTTGCAATCCCTGCATCTCAAACCCACTTCCACTTCTCTCACTCCCAGTCTTTGCTGGTGCCACAGGCACAGAGCTCTCTTCTTTGGTTTTGCCATCTTACTCCTTTTCTTGCTGTTGGTTCCACTTCCTCTCATCTCCTTAATTGCCCCATGCTCATTTCACCTTGTTAATTGCTCACTCTTCTCTGGCTCTTTCCCATTTCAATAAATGCAACTATTAATACTCTTATTGTTTACAAGCCACCAACTCCTCCATCATTTCCCTCCTCAGCTGGACAGGGGAGAGAAAATACAATGAAAGCTTGTGGGTTGAGATAAAGGCAGGGAGAGATCACTCACCAGGCACCGTCATGAGCAAAACAGACTCGATTCAACGAAAAATAATTTAATTTCTTAAAAATTACATCAGAGTGAGACAATGAGAAATAAAAGCTAAATATTAAAACACCTCACCCCCATCCCTCCCATCTTCCTGGGTTCAGCTTCACTTCTGATTTTTTCTACATTCTCCCTTTTCTGCAGCACAGAGGGATGGGGAAGGGGTGTTGCAGCCAGTTAAGCACGCATTGTCTCTGCTGCTCCTTCCTCCTCAAGGGAAGGACACTTCACTATTCCCTGCTCCAGTGTGGATTCCCTCCCAGAGGAGTCCTCCACAAGCTTCTCCAATGGGAATCCTTCCCATGGGTTGCAGTGCTTCATGGACTGCTCCAGTGTGTAAGGTCCTTTCCAAGGGCTGCAGTCCTTCAGGAACAGGCTGCTCCAGGATGGGTTCCCTGTGGGATCACAAATCCTGCCAGCAAACCTGCTCCAGCGTGGGCTCTTCTCTCCATAGGGTCCACAGGTCCTGCAGGAGCCTACTCCAGTGTGGGCTTCCCACAGGGTCACAGCCTGTTTTTGGGCATCCACCTGCTCTGGCATGGACCACAGGGGACTGCAGGGGGACAGCTGCCTCATCATGGTCTTCACCACAGGCTGCAGGGGAATCTCTTCTCCAGTGACAGAAGCATCTCCTCGCCTTTCTTCTGCACTGACCTTGGTGTCTGCAGAGCTGTTCCCCTCACATATTCTCACTCCTGTCTCTGGCTGGAATTGCACTTTTCCTTACTTTCTTAAATCTGTTACCCCATAGGAGCTACCACCATTGCTATGAGCCTGGCCTTAGCAGGTGCCAGGTCTGTCTTGGAGCTTCCAGGCATTTGCTCTGTCGGACACAGGGGAAGCTTCTGCCAGATTGTCACAGAAGCCACCCTTGAGGCTCCTCCACTACCAAAACCTGGCCACACAAACCCAGTACAAATATGCACCTCTATTCTCTTTGCTTTGTAAGCTCAGTGAAAGGCTGGACTCCTCCTCATGAACCTCCTCCTCCCTCTTTGGGCCCCTGCCCCCACATTCAGTCAGCACTGCTTTTGTGGAAGCCTCAAAATGACCAGCTCTTAGGCAGCTCCAGCTCTCCCCTCCATCTCCCACCACCTGTCAGGCATTTGCCACAAGTCAGCTCTCCCTGAGAGGTTATTCCCTCTGTCATTCAAAGCTCTGCCCTCCCCTTTCCCTTCCCTCGCTTGACCACCACACCTTTTGGAGACTCCAGACTCTAGAATGGTGGTATAAAATTGTGTTCTTGTCCTCTTTCTCTTCTATGCCTTATCTCCATGTAATCCCTACCACAAACATAAATTCACCTGCCAAGCAGCTTAAAAACCCAGTGCTGTATTCAGATTAATCTCTAAAAGAGAGATCAACCCAACCAAAAGTAAAAGGGTACAGCACGGATGTCTCTACCTGCAATGGCCCCACCTAGGCTCCCATTACAGCTAATCCTACAGGAGGCATCTAGAGCCAGCCAGGACAGGCACTCAGGAAAAAGCTGTTTCCTTTCCCCATCTAAAAGCGGACTGCAGTTGAATGGATTGATGACTGTACTGTAAACACTTAAAACTGGGCAAGATGAGTCACAGACCCTTTTTCCCAAGCACATCCTTGCTCAGCTCCCTGATGCCTGCTCAGATAAGCCTTGCTGTCAGCTGAAGCTCAAGCTTGGCTAAGCCAGCCCACTTCATCCCATGGCCCCTCAGCTGCTGTTTAGGCCAATGTTCACTTATGCCTATGACAGAGGGGACAGCCTTGATCCAGACTTCTCCTTGTGTCCTTATTCAGATCATACCCAAACCCTGAAAGCATTGTTCCACAAATAATTGCTGACATGAAGCCCTTCTGTCTCCATGTGTGGAGCTAAGGCTCTCACCCATGCTGAATTGCTACTTTGAATTGTGCTTACTGCCAGAGCACTTGTCCTTCTCTCAATAAATGCAGCCCTGTCCTGCACACAATCACTCTGCATGTCTTGGCAAAGGATATGGGTCTGACTATTCCTGCTGTGCTGCCATGCCTACCTTTGCATTTCTCCCTTATCTCCCTACTCCCTGTCACATCAGATGAGAGCTGCTTGTCCTGGCTTTCGAGCCCTTCTGTAGCCCACCCCAGATCTGTCTCTCCCACGCACAGCCTCTCATGTGTAACACTCAGCTCTGCCATCACCCATCAGCTGGTCATCACTGGGGCCAGGCTTCCTTCTCTGCAGGCAAACACACTCTCACTGACACCCCTGGCATGGTGGCTTCCTTCTCCGTGACCTGTGCTCTTGTATGACACAAATTAATAGACCTAAAGTGGCAACAGCAGCCACCAAGCCACAAAAAGATTTGCATAATAATACAAAGAATGGCGACTCAGCATTAAGAGGCACAGCTGTAATTTAGGGATAATGTATGCTGGGAGAAATTAAATGCCTTTGCCACCCCTTTGATGATGCTGCCACTTCTTAGCAGCATGGCAGATTTCATAGAATGGCTTGGGTTGGAAGGCACTTTAAAGGTCATCTTGTTCCAACACCCCTGCCATGGGCAGGGATGCTTTCCACTGTACTATTTGTTTTGCAATACCTGAAAATATTTTTTAAAGTCAAAGAATGTTTTGACCACATTAAAATATATACACTGAAAGTGCATTAGACTTGCACTTTTGACTTCATACCTACTTTTTCTCCTTTCAGTGACTAACAGTGTAACATTAATTTTATATTAATTTTTTGGGGTTTTACATACAATTTCTTATTGAAATTAAGAGGAAAACTGCAGCTAAACAGCCTACCCCTTTAAATCCTTTTAAATGGGTGACCCACTGGCCTTCCAGTACCTGAAGGGAACCTACAACAAAGATGGACAGGGACTTTTTATGAGAGCATGACAGGGCAAAGGGGAATGGATACAAACTAAGAGTGTAGGTTTAGATTAGCTTTTACTGTGAGGTCTTTTACTGTGACGGTGAGGAGGCCCTGAAACAGGCTGCCCAGAGAAGCTGCGGATGCTCCATTCCTGGAATGTTCAAGGCCAGGCTGAAAAGGGCTTTGAGCAACCTGGTCCAAGTGGGAGGTGTCCCCGCCCATAGCAGGGGGGCTGTAACTCTATAATCTTTAAAGATCCTTCCAACCCAAACCATTCAGTGATTCAATGAAATCCAGAGAGCCCTGCGGGGGCAGGGGGAGGAGTGGCTCCTGCGGTGGGACGGACAGCGGTAGGCCGGGCCAGCTCAGCCCCAGCCGGCCGTTCCCTCACGGCGGGGCAGGAGAGCACAGCCGTCCGCACGAGACGGCCCGGCCGGCCCAGGAACTACAGCTCCCGGCGTGCCCCGCGACAGGCAGCAGCCACCGGGGCGCGGGCGGGAGCGGAAGCGGCCGCCGCGCGGCACGCCGGGATCCGCAGTCCGGAGGCCATCGCCGCCAGCGCCCGGGGCCGTGTCCCACGCATTTGAAAATTCCCGCGGAGGCTCGCTGCGGTTCTCGCGAGAAGTGGCCCCGTCCCCCCGGTGCCGTCCCGCCCCCCGCGCGGCGGGTGAGCGAGCGAGGTGGGTGCGCGGCGCGCGGGCCGGGCCGGGCCGTGCCGTTGTCGCCGCTGCGGGAGGGACATGCCACCGGCACCGGCACGTACCGGGAGCGCGGGCGCGGCTGGGCTGGGGGCAGCGGCGCGGACACGAGGAGGCGGCGGAGGTGGCGGCGACGGCGACCCCCGCCCGCCCGTGTGCCTGCGTTCCTCCCTTTCTTCCTTCCCGCCCGTACCAGCGGGTACCGGGCGCTCCCGAGCCGCATAGGCCGGCACCGGCGCTGGCGCAGCGCGGGCCCGCGGGGGCCTCGGGCGGGCCCGGCCGCCCGTCCCTTATGTAAGTGACCCCCGGGCTGCGGCGCCGTGCCCGCCACACGTGCCCGGCCCCGGCGGCGGGGGAGGCCCGGGCGGCGCGGCCTGGGCAGCGCACATGGAGGCTCCGCAGCCCGGAGGCTCCGTCGGGATGGGGGGCGTGGGAGATGCGGCGGCTGCCGCCAGGAGCTTTCCCTCCTGCCCGGCCACCCGCGCACGCCCTCTGTATTCGCCCCTTGGGTCGTGTTCCTGGAGGGTTTTTCTTTACTTTTTTTTCTAATTCCTCCTCCCCCTCCCCCGCCGGGCTCCGGGGCTGTATTCCATGAGGAGGCGGGAAATGCGCTCCGTGCGTGGAGCGGCGATTGCGGGACGTGGGATGGGTGCCGTGGGGAGGCCACAGCTTTAGAAGGACCCAGTGCGATTTGTGGGGGTCTCTGGGTCTTTGCACGAAGCGAAGCATCGCGAAGCAGAGTTGCTGCTGGCTTAAACAAAAGTGCTCCGCGTCTTCCTTAATAAACTGTGAGTCCATGTCTGGAGCTTCTGCCAATAGAGTGCTTGGTGTCAGTCTTTCAGGTCTAATGATTGCTTCCTGATCGTGTCTGGGGAAATTGGAGGGAACTGAGGGGCCGGTTTGTGTCGGGATGGCTGCACCCCGTTCGGGGCGTAGGGCTGAGCGTGGCCCTGCAGGTGCCTGTGCAGGGCCCGAGGGTCTGGCTGGTTGTGTCAGCCTTGGCTGGCAGCTGTCCCATGCGCTTGGGCACACAGCTCTGTATCTTGGGGAGGACAGCTCCTCATTCACGTGCTGCCTCAGCTCTCCGTCCTGCTTTGATTTGCTTGGGATTGGCTTTTTCAAGCGTGATCGAGCTTCTGTGAATTTTACATCTTCTGCCTAGTAAGGTGTTGGACATGGTTTTGGAGGAGCAGTGGTGACAGGCATTTCATGGTGTGACGCTGGTTTGGTGGAGAGAATAGAATCCTTAAATTGGCAAGAGAGAGTCACCCTGTTGCATGGGTTGCAGGTGTTTCTGTAGTTGGTCTTGCTGGTTGTAAAAACCTGTTGGAGAATTAAATGTTCCAAATCCATCTGGATACAGCCTTGGGCAGCCTGCTCTAGGTGGTGGCTGGAGCAGTGTGTTTAGAAGAGGTGACTGTGTGTGATTCTGGCAGATCTTTCTCTTTGATGTGATTCTGGAATTTGTGCTGGGAAGGGCCAGCTGTGGGATGGCATACCAGTGTGGTATGCTGGAAATGTCTTCCAAAATACAGTAGTAGAAAAAAGAAGCAAATACAGAGATGAGAGATGGCAGCAAGGTCTCTCTTTTGATGTCAGTGAAGTCAACATGTCCTGTCAAATCTTGTCTTCAGCTGTGACTGACCATATTTTTAGCTTTTTCTTCAGTGAGCCCATAACATTGTTGGCCTTTTAAACTGATTTTTGTGGAATGCAATCAGTCAAAACTCACATCTCAGAACTCTGACTTGGCTATGTGTAATTCTGCTTGAACACACAATTTCTCTTTCCTTTCTTTTCCCTTCTTCCCTCCTCCCCCCTCCTAAGCTTTTTAATCCAAAAATTTATGACATCTCTGTCTTTGGAAATAGTTCATGGTGCTTGGAAGTTAGAAGTTCCTAGGGTGAAAAAGAATGGTCATTTTGGCAACTTGCACACAGACTGCATTGCTATAGGATACAGCTGGGAGGTTGAATTCTGGCTTATTCCTGAAAACGGAGTAAGCCTGTGACATTTTACCCTAATCTGATTTCTAACAGAAATAAGAATTGATTGTAGTTATTGTTTCAAAGAGAGCTGAAATGCAGTTGCTGTTGGATATATTTCTTAAAGTTGAGAGGCTTTGTGCTTTTAATCTTGATCTAAGTATTTCCCCTCTGTTTTGATTTCCTAGCAGTTCTTGGTTTAACTTAGCAAAATGATGTAAGGATAGCATCCTTATAGAGAGGTCAGTATATATTGTTAATAATTTGTTATAAAGTTTATCAGCCTTGTTCCATGACTGATTTCTGAAAACAAGAAGAGGTGTTTAAAATGGTCATTGCCTTACTGGAGCAAAACTGAGCATGCCTGATGCTCTAGTTTTTTCATTTTCTACAAAAATTGTTTAGGTCTTGGAGTTCTGCTTATTTGATTGTTCTTACTGGTGTTTGTGGATGGATTTTTTTTAATGTTGTGGGCAGGAGTAAGCTGTGTTAACATAGGAGCTTTTCATCAGTGAAGAACTCTTTTTGGGATGGTGAGGAGCTTGTTTTTTAAACTCAGATCTCCCCAGTAGCGGATGTTTCAGTTTGATTTCCAATTTAGCCATGCAAGGTTCTGTGCTCTTGGCACAGCAGGTGGGCAGTGTCTCAGGCAGCACCGCTCAGGGTGACTCATGGAGAGCACACAGCTGAGAAGTTTCCTTGCATGCTCTTACCTGCCCTACTGCAAGATACTTGTTCACTCTTTTCTTAAAACTATCTTGTTATTATTGTGGTATATGGTATTAATAATCATATACTTACCACACAGACATCTCCATTCTTATTTACAAAAAAGGAAAAACAATTATTCACTACAATAATTCTGGAATTTTGCGCTCTTTTCTAAAATTCCTTAGTTTATGTTGTCAGAGTCAGTGCTTTATCAGGCTGGAGAAATGGGCTGACAGGAACCTTATGTAGTTTAACAAGGGAAAGAGCCAAGTCCTGCTCTGGGAAGGAACCACCCCAGGCACCAGTGTGTGCAGGGGCCTGCCCAGCTGGAAAGCAGCTTGACAGAAAAGGCCCTGGGACACCCAGCTGGCATGAGCCATCACTGTGCCCCTGCAGCAAAGAAGGCTGGTGGTGTCCTGCCTGGGCTCATGAGGAAGAACCTTTGCCAGCAGGTCAAGGGAGGTGATTCTTCCTCTAGTACTGCACTGGTGAGGCCTCAGCTGGAATGCTGTGTCAGGTCTAGGCTCACCAGCCTCTCAAGATGAGAGGTGAAGGTACTGGAGAGAGTGCAGCGAAGGGCCACAGTGGTGGTTAGAGGAGATTGGAGCAGCTCTTCTCTGAGAAAAGGCTGGGAGACTGGGACTGTTCAGCCTGGAGAAGAGAAGGGTTCTCATCAATGCACGTAAATACCTGAATGGAGGGTGTAAAGCAGATGGAGCCAGGAACATTCCAGTGGTGCCCAGTGACAGGAACACAAGCACATGCTGAAGCATTTCAGAGATGCTATTCATCAACCAGATGTGTCTGAAGTATTTGGTATTATAGGTTACTCCTGAAATAAATCCACTAAATTGCAATTAAACTAAGCAAGAATGCTGGTCAGATTGTGAGGCCTTTTACTCTCTGGAGTCCCTGGATACAGTGCAGAAGTTGTCACTTGAAACTGATGGCATGTACCAGAAGAGAAACTCAGCAAAACTACTGCAAGTGAGTTGTCCCACTTGGAACCGGATCTGTGCTAGTAGTGAATGCTGGCAGAGTGGTCAGGCTGGCTGGCTGGCTGCAGTACTGGCTTTGCCATCAGCAACATTTTTGTCAAAATGTTGGCTTGTGCTTAGTGCAGGACCCTGACTTACCCTTCCTGTGCTTCACGCACTCATTGTTGTCCTGCTGGCAGCAGGTACGGGAGCACAACCCAGCACTAGTCACCTGTGTATAATATCTTGAGATGTCATGAAGAAGGCAGTGCTGTTTGAACAAGACAGTTGAATTTGTCTTGTCTGTCAGAGGCCTTTTCTGTAAGCCAGATGACTTGTAAAACATAGATATCTAAAGTAATTTGTATTTCCATGCGTATGGATCATCTCATATTTAGCCACCTGTTTAATCCTGTAAATTAGTTCAGCTCTTCAGTTTCTTCAGAAAAAAAAATCTGTCTTGACATACTGAAATGTGAACTCTTTTGGAGCATCTGTATGAGCACGAAACTGTCTGAGAGGCCTAGAAATTTTTTCTCTAATACTGCAGAGATGCAGTAAGCAAAGGCAGTAGGAAGGAAGGGACTGGAATACGAAATATAAGGATTTCAGCAGAGAAAAAGAACAATATTTTGAAGCGTTATGTTACGTTCACCTCTAAAGTGTATGGAAAAATACTTCTACTTGATGAACTGTGAAAGTCAGTATTGCTTGAACGTCTTAGCAATATGTTTTCTGGAAGAATTTGGGGATGAATTTGGTCAAGAACTTTGTGTTCCTTAATGTCAAAAATCAGCATGCAAAAAGTAAAGAAGACATGGATGATCTGTGATATCCACTACAAGAAAGTTGACAACAAATAATCATCTATTAAATCAAGGGAAAGGGCAGAGAGTTGTACCTCTTACTGAGAAGTTTTTTAAAATATGTTTTGTCTGAGATCACATCTTGCTAACCTGTATGAGTAAGCTTGAACTTGGTGTGTTGTTCTCTTCGCTGTTATTTATCTTGCTCATCCCTCTGTGTCACTTCTTGTTGGTGATCTTGTAGGCATCGGAAAAGCTCAAGATTCTCCTTTTGCTCTGCTGTGAGATGAAAAACTGTCCCAAGTGCCATTTCTTTTGAGCAAAAAAGAGCTACAAATGATGTATGATTGGAATGGGTGATTTAAATGCGAGATTTGTTACTGCATACCGATGAAGCTTGGGTCAGTCTCCAAGATATTTATGGCTGACATGAGTCTCTTTGCCTTTTTTCCTTTATTTGCAGTGAAGAATGCGAGACCTAACGGCTCAGGTAACGAGCAGTCTGCTGCAGTTTCCAGAGGTGACTGTTGAGGCACTTGGGGAAGATGAGATCACCCTAGACTCTGCACTGTGTGGGAAGTTTTCTGGAGGTGAGCATTTTCCTTTAAATTTGGATTTGGTCTGAAGTCGTTATTGCCTGAAGCACAGGATCATGTCATCAGGTTGTTCTGTTAGGTAAAATGCATCAGGTTCTGATAGATGTATCTTTTTGGGGAAATGAAGGTTTTGTGTTGGTTGGTGCTGCATAGTCTTGTTTTAGGAAAAGCTGTTGTGCATCTCTTTGTATGACTTATCCTTTTTATATTGCATTAACATACTGTCCCTTCAGATTATCCAGTCAAGAGACCCTTGATGTAAAATCTTGGACTTAGCACTTCCATTATCTTTTGAGTTTACTGATAGTAAAAAAAAAAAAACATTGTAGAGCACATAATGACGAAGTTCTCCACTTTAAAAAAAAGGTATTGGAAACCTTTTTTTTTTTCAGAGCAAAAAAGAAAACCTCACTTAAATTGTCTGTAATATACCTTTTTGAAATGGCTAATTTCTGTCACAAATATTGTCCTTAAAGTATCTGAGACTCCCATCATTTTGCTGTTAATGACTTTGACACATTCCCATCAATCTCCGACTAGGAAGCAGGTGATGTGGGAACAGAACAGATTTTTCTGTTAACTTAAAATTGGAAAAAAGATTTTAGTGAATTGTCCGTCAGATAGTTAGCAGATTTACTTTCATTCTGCAGTCCTTGAATCTCTGCTTGTTGAATATAGTGCTTGTGTAGATGGGATACAGTGGTGTAATGTTGATATTTTTTTCTGCTTTCTGTAACCCTTGAATTCAAATGATGTTGTGTCCCTGTGTCTCATTAACACAACGGAAGGAAGAATCAGATTGTTATCAGAACATCAAGATTCATTGTGTTTTAATCATCTTAGAATCTGCAACAAGTGAATGCTTATTTACTACTGCGTTTTCCCTAACCTTACTTGGTTTGACTTGCTAGAGTACAGATCAAAGTCTTGTTAGTAGTAGTAAGCATTTGTGTTAAGTTCTAAAGATACAAATCATATCAGTGTTCCAGTGTGTTGTTTTGCTGTCTGCTCGAGTTGTAGGTGGAAAGGCAATCTGTGTGCTAGCATGAACTTAAAATAAGTAAATTATGTTTTGGTAAGTGATGTTGGTGTCTTAGGTTTTATTTCTTCTATCTAAGTAAGCTAGGAAAAGCAAAGGTTCAGAAGTAAGGATTATGTTGCATGTTGAATCCGTAGCTGTGGAAGTGTTTTGAAATAGAAGCTAGTTCCAGCAATCAGTTGTATTAGAGTTGTTGTATACTACAAAAACTGATTCAGGAGCAGAGATGAAGCCCTGCAGGAAAGAGTTGGTTGTTGGGTGATGAAGGGTAGGAATTTTGAAATAAAGCCAAAGTTGCTCTGAAAGTTGTGCTCTTATGCCCTGAAAGCTCATGAATACAAGTATGTTTGGTCTGTTCTTGTGTTTTATTTCCTATGTCTTTGGTATTGTGTTAAGTCAGCATAGTGAGGACACAGGTATTGCTAATTGGAGTCTTAGCTTTCAGGCTGTGAGTGGGAGTAAGGGTAAGCAAAAACAAGTAAATAAAACTTGCACTTGGCTGCTGTCCATATGTTTTGAATTCTTTCAGAAACACATATTTGCATATTATGTAATGTATAGTTGAGGGGGGATTGATTTGCATGAATGTTTCTCTGATTTTCAGATTGATTATTTTTAAAGATAAAATGCGGATCTTTTCTTAATATCGCTTTCTGCAGTCAGTCATTACTCTTTTAAACCTTTAATGAGCACTGCGTTTTCAGGACTTTTCTCAACAGGTGTAAGTTCTGTGGACAGCTACATTGTGCAGTTTAACTTAGAGCAGCTCTGCTCCAAGGTGTCAGGTTGTGAGTGTACTAATACAGGGTGTTTATTGTGACTGTGTGAATGCTTTTTAGTGTGAGAGTGGATGTTGAGTTGTTCAGAGAATAAAGAAATCAGTTAAAAACCCAAACTCAGGAGCTTAGAAAGAATTTTGGCATAATGTCTTTGCATGTGTCTGTGAGTGTCTCTTGATGCCCTCATGATAGGTGTGTGAAATGCAGCAGGAGAATTAAAATGTTGATGAGTATAATTTGAATTGGATTCTGAATTAAAAAACATGAAGTAGATTGAATTAGTTTATAACAGTTACATGTTTTAGAACTGTTGCATGGTATTTTCCCAAATTTTCCTGGTTTGTATGAGGCAGAAGGGCAGCATTCAGAGTCAGTGAGCTGAGAAAAGTTTTCTTTGTTCTTTCCCAGAATGAGCTGGCAAAGCACTAGGAGAATAGGAAAAAGCAGTGCATAGCATAGTGGAAAAATATGTCATTTCAGGAGCTTCTACGTGGAAAATTGAAGTAACCAGGGAACATTTTTGGAAGTATATGCAAAACTAGTAAAGATTCATTTGGAGCCAGTTGTAGAATGAAAAAAATAACTTGAAAAGAACTCACAAGCAACACTTCAACCTTGGCTAGTTGTACAGCAAGATGCATTCTGTATTTCCTCCTCGGTCACCAACGCTCAGAACGCAAGAATCCGAGTAATCTAAATACTTTCATTAGTCCTTGGAGCAGTAGAGAGGATTAAAAATTTAATTTGAATCATAAGAACTCTGAAAGAAAACCAAGTTTCCTAAATAACTAAAGATACTTCTAAGATTTGTGTTCAAGGTGAAAGGTGAATTGCGAAGCAGGTGGCCAGGCAGTGCAGTCATAAGCAAGTGCTTGATATGGGAGAGAAGAAAACCTCAGGGGGCCTATAAGTTTGGATATTGTCCCCCACTTCTGGGGGTAAATAAGCTACATAAAAAGATGGACTACCTTGTGAGGCTCACTTCTTTGTTTCAGACAAAATGTTGTTGCTGATGTCAAGCTGTGTGCTTTCAGGGTTCTGCATTTGTAAGAGGCTGGAAGATAGCCCCTGTTCCTGTGTTGTCCTGCTGCTTTAGTGCAGGAGCCCTGGTGTGCTTGTGTCTCTGCTGGAGCAGTCAGTATTGCCCTGGGTGTGCTGTGGGTGCTGAGGGGTCTGTTTTCCTCGTGCTGAGGTCATGGGGAGTGCTTGGCCTGTCAGGGAGAGAGAGAGTTCGTGCCTCAGGCTGAGCAAGTTCTTGTTTGGTCTCTTGCTGTTGGTTTAGGCTGCCTTTTGCAGTTTTCCTTACCATCTGTAAGAGTGCTGGTGTGCATTTAAAACTTCTGTTGGATATTGTCAGTCAAAGTGAGGACCAGTGTAGATTTTAGTAAGCCAGCATCTCCTTCCAACCCTTTCTAGGAAGGTTTCATTCCCACGGAAATTGTATGTCTGGTGTACCCCACAGCCACTGCCTCGTTTGCCTTGCAGCTCTGATTTAGCTTACAAAATGCAGGGTAAAGAAGGCCTGGACTGTATCACAGTGGTGATGGGCTTGGAGTAGGAGAACTAGAGCTAGCTTTGTCTTTAAGTCCTGTACACGTGGTAAAGCTTCTAGCATGTAATTGATTTCATGTCTCTTCTTAGATGCAATTATTTCTAAGTAGGAAATGGAAACTGGTAAGTTGAAAAGACAGAATATGCTATTTACGTGGAGAGAGCTTTCTTTTTATTAATTTCCTTTCTGCTTGATACAATAGGGAGCAGTGATTTGTTTTTAAATCTTATGAGCTTGTATTTCCTTTCCTGTTTCTGATATGCTAATGCTGGCTTCCCTTCTGAGGCTTGCTCTTGGGCCTGTCAAAGAGCTTTGCTATGAACCTGCATTCCCTGCAGGTGACTGCCATCGAACCCATCAGCAATGACGGCGGAGCCAGCGTGAGCACGCGGCACCTGCATCAGAGCCTGCGATGGCTCTTTGGAGTGGCAGCAGTGGCCACGGATGTTGGCCATGTCCTTCTGGTTGACCTTTGTTTGGATGATTTATCTTGCAGTCAGAATGAAGTAGAAGCATCAGGTAAGCTGCAGTTTTTAAACTTGAATTTAGAAGTAAGAAGATGAGTTTCTTTTCAAAACCCAGCTTGTATCCCAGTGAAGATTCCAGCATGCTGATTGACTGCTGGCATTTCTGACATTGCCCACTGCTGACTGCAGACAGCAGTTTGACATGGTATGGTTCTGAAGTGATCCAAAAATGGGAGTGGCTTAATGCTCCTCCAGAAGTTAAGAAGGCCTCTTGCTGCCCACATCCCTTTGTCCCTGTGATTCTTGCCAGTGGGAGGTAGGAATTTTTCCGTTTGAGTCAGTGCAGCTGTGGGATAGGAAGTTGTGTCAGAGGTACCAAATTCCTTGGGAGTGTTCTCCTGTTTCCATTAATGAATTGGGGCAGGCTTTAGGCTTGTGTTTTAGAAGAAATCTGGCTTATCAAAAATCCTGCATTTGGGTGAATGAATCCTGCAATTTGTGTTCTCAGATTGCATACATTGTTCCGGGTGTTGTAAGAGTGGCTTCAGAGGTTCATGTCCCTTCAAGTAGCTTCTCTATGAGGCCCAGTAAAGGCATTTGTCTACAATGGTTTCATTTGTACCCAGTTTTGAAATAGGAGTGAGAATACCTGTCCCTTGGAGAGTCCTCCTGTTCTCTGAATGGGTGCAGAAACAGGAATAGCCCAAAAAGGTGCAGCAGAAATGGGTGTTTTATTTGAAGAATTATACATATTGTGTAATCACATTAGTTTAAAATGCAACTGAAGTGGCATAATGCATTAATTTCTTGCCTTCTTTTATGTGTGTAGATCTAGAAGTTGTGACTAGAATTCCTGCTGAAGTTCCACAAAGAAGAGAAGCTGTGACCAGGGAAGGGAGGCATCTCTGTTTTCAGTTAAGAAGTCCTTCAGGAACAGCAGTGTCAACCCTGTGCTACATAAGCAGAAGCAACCAGCTCATTGTGGGGTTTTCTGATGGCTACTTGTCACTATGGAATATGAAGAGTTTGAAGAGGGAGTAAGTAGTCCTTTCCACTTGGTTGCACTTGGAGGTGCAGGGATCTCAATTTTTTGCTGCATCCAGTAGGGATGTGATAGAGCTGATTTTTGTAAGTCTGTTCTGTCCAGTCGTATTTTGTGAACCCAGGCAATGTGTGTGTTTTGGTGAAAGATTTAGAATGATTCAGAACCTGTTACTGCAATTAGGGCATCCACTGAAAGGCTTCACTGTGTGAATAATGTGATTTTGGTGATAATATTCTTTAAGGTGTCCATGATGGATCTAGTGAGACATGATAATTCAACAGTTGATCTGTGCCTGAAAACAGATTCTTTCCTACTTTCAGCCTTGATGGAAATTGGTGGTTGACTCATTCCCAGACCAGGATGCTTATATGAATGAAAGTTTATTGGAAAGCTTTGGAGATGAGAATAAGGGTTTCATACCTTTATAAGCAATAATGGAATTTGTAGGTGATTTGAAATCTGCCACTTGAAATATGTGACCACATTCAGATAGGTGTTCTTTAAGGAGATGTACAGTTCCTCACCAGAAACTATGTGTGTGTTGTGGATGTGTTATGGATGCATAAATAGACAGTGGACACATAATTAGACGCAAAGAAAAGACTGTGAAGGTGCAATTGAAATCAGAAGTTGGGATGAGAATTCCTTAAGAAGTAGTGGCTTGTCAGTCATGAGTTGTTCTAAATGGAAGTATGACCATCTGTACTTTGAGGATAAGTATGCAAGCTGCTTTTTTTTCCAGAAGATGCTTCTACCCTTCTACAAACAGCCAGAGCCAGCAGGCTCTCATTTTTTCTATATTTTCCTTTTAAACCTTTAGGCACCACTCCCAGCTTGAAGGAGGAAGGATTCCTGTCTATGCAGTTACTTTTCAAGAGCCTGAGAATGATCCCCGCAATTGTTGCTACTTGTGGGCTGTTCAGTCTACACAACAAAGGTGAATAAAATCCTGCCATAAGTCACTGTTTTTAAAATATTTGTTCACATTCGGTTGATATCTGTGTATTCATTTTATTTCTTTAACTGTACAGGAGATGACAAGTGTTAAGCTTACAGTGCAATTTTTTCAGGATTTTACATTTGCAAAGAGAGGTTGACTCTTTCCTACCTTGTGGAAGAAGGCAAAGGAAACAGTGGCTATATTTTTGTGCTTGCAGTCTCAAATGATGTCCCTTGTTTCTTGATGACTGCTTCAAGATTTGTTTGGTATTCCCACTATGATATTCAGTATCTTTTAAAGTGGTTTAGGCTGCAGATGCAGAACAGTAAATGTTATCAGCAAGCTACTTAATCAGCACAGCTGTTCATAGACTGGCAGTCTTCTTAAGTTCAACTTAAAAGAAGTTTTCATGGAGAATGCTTTACCGTTGTGAGCTATTTGTAGCAATTCAGGATTTTTTTCCTCCATGTTGCTTTCTAAACAAAGACATAGTTGTCATTTGTTCCTGAAGCTGTTAATGTCAAAATTTCCCCCTTTCTGTTTTAATGGCTAATGTGACCAATTACCATGTTTTGCAAAGCAGTGTTTATCTTTTCAGCAAGAGCACACTCTTAAGTTAGTTTCAGCCTAGATCTAATAAAATGATAATGAGGATTGTAAAGCAGCTTTGTAATCCAATTTTCTCATTTATACCTTTTTCAGTGAAGGTGATGTTGTGAGTTTACATCTGCTGCAGTTAGCATTTGGTGACAGGAAACGCCTGGCATCAGGACAAGTCATGTATGAGGTAAGACAGGCTTGTGTGTAAGAAGATGAAAAAATAGTAATTTTGTCTACATAAGGATCAGTTAAGTTGACCAGATTAATATTTACCGTGAAAGGTCAGTGAGACTTAAGAAAAAAGTCTTTTGATGAGTCTTTCTAGGGATTCTTTTGTCCATACTTTTCAAAACAAGTCATAGAATCCTGGAATGGTTTTGGTTGGAAGACCTTAAATGTAATTTATTCCAATCCCCTGCCATAATTATGGATGCCCCCCACAGGCTCAGTTTGCTCAGAGTCCCATGCACCCTGGCCTTGAGCACTTCCAGGAATGGGACATCTATAGCATCTCTGGCAGCCTGACCTCCAGATCTTCACCACTCTGAGTAAAAAATTTCTTCCTAACATCTAATCTAAATCTCTCCTGTACTAGTTGAAAACCCCCTTCTCCTTTGTCTTATCACTATCTGCCCTTGTAAAATGTCAGTCTCCCTCTTTTTCATAACCTCCCTTTGTGTGCTGAAAGGCTGCACTGAGGTCTCCCAGGATGGGGTTGGACTTCTGGGCTGTGAGTGCATATTGCTTCCTGTTCACCAGAACCCCCATGTCCTTCTTGGCAGGGCTGCTCTCAGTCACTTTTCCCAGTCTGTAGTCATGTCTGGGATTGCCCCATTCCAGGTGCAGCACCTTGCACTTGGACTTGCTGACCTTCATGTCATGAGATTCCCATTGGCCCACCTCTCAGGCTTTTCCAGATCGTTCTGGATGACATCCCGGCCTTTTGTTTTGTCAGCTACACCTTTCAGCCTGGTGTCATCTGCAAACTTGCTTGAAGTGCACTTGATCTCACTGTTTGTGTCATTGATGAAGATATTGAAGAGCACCAGTCCCCACACAGGTTTCTGAGGGACACACTCAACATCAGTCTATGCCTGGAGGTAGACTTGTTCCCACAACTCTCTGGCTTGGTCCTTCCAACCAATTCCTTATCTGCTGAGTAGTCCACCCCTCAAACCTGCCTGTCTTCAATTTAGAGATAGTGATGTCATGGGGAATTGACCTTGTAGAAGTCTAGGTAAATGACATTGGTCAGTTTTCCCTCCTCAAGTGTTTCAGTCACTCCATTGTAGAAGATGATCAGATTGGTCAGACACAATCTGTCCATGCTGAAGCCATACAATTTTATACTTCAGTGTAATGAGTTCCACCTAGATTCATCTGCAGGGAGTCCTTACACATCTGATTCCTGAAGAGGAAATGGCTGTTAGAAATGAAATTACTTGTTTAAACATCACATGAATGGCATGTAGGAGAAGACAAGGCTTTGAATAGCTTTGTATTTCCAAACTGTAGATTTGAAGAAGCTTCTGTCTGTCTCCCTTTCTTACAATATGGTCATATATTTCTCTTTATACATTTCTGATCTCTGTTTTATAATTTTGTTTTTCTTTTAAACTCTGTCAGCCTGACTTCAGATAAACCTATAAAAATACCCACAACGTCTCTTCAGCGTTGATTCTGAAACTCAGTAGCTGTAAAGATGACTCTTGTTTTAAGTTTTGGATGGGTTGTCTCTGAAATCTACTCTTCAAGCCAGCAAAAGATGTACATACAATGTACAGTGGTATGATTTGGTCAGAAAAGTCTCCATAAATTTTTAGAACTGGTTCCAGAGATGCTGTGGTGTAGAGTAGATAAAATATAGATGTATTATTAGGTCTCAGCTAATCTAACAGAGACGAGAGGAACCTCTATAATGTTTAATTCTGTTCAGCAGTATGCATGAAACTCTACCAAGATCTTTTTGATGGGAAAGTAATCTTAATTCACAGCAAGTCTTTGCTCCTATTTAACACTTGCCGTTGTGTATTCTCAGTAGTACAAAATGAAATTGAGGTAATTCTTGGATTGTGGTTTAAAGATTTATTTTTTCTTATAGGAACTTTGAGTTTTGAATTTTTTGAATGAGTTTGAATTTTATGCTTTTTTTCCTTTTGTCTGTAGGTAAAGGCCTTCCTGCTTTGGAAGTGTTGCTTTTGAACAGATAAAGGTTAGGTGTTGGGAGGAGGTGGTGTTTCTTTAAAATACATCATCTGTCATGGTGATGAAGTAGAAATACCTTCAAGTGGTTCAGTATGTCTGAACATGCATGTTATATCTTCATGTGCAGTTTTTAAGTGCTCTAGAGGAGCAGAACACCTTGTTTGCTTGGGGTTTTTTGTTTGGTTTTAGGTTTTTTTAAGGATTTTCATTGCAGTTCACTCTGCATCTTGTATTGCTCTAAGGACTTTGGCAGGTTGATAGGAGAAAGTTTCTTTAATCTTCTCGGGATTTGCTTTTGAATTTCAGTTTTGTTTTATCCTCTTGGATATCCTCTTTTGTTTTATCCTCTTAAAAGAAATTTTTAGCTAAGTATTTTTAGCTAAGTCTTAGCAGTGACAAGGACAATACCTTTTACTGTGTGCTGTGTTGGGGAAAAGCAATTGTCTCTACTTCCCTCATGGCTACTACTGTTTTCCATCTGAACAATTTAATGTTAAAATGTGAGACCTTTAACTATTTGGCAGTTATTTGTCTTTGTTGTCTTTTCTGAACAAGATGTGACAAATGTCAGTTTATACCTCAGAGAGTTGAAATGTTTAATCAGTCTTTAAAAATGGATTTGCTAGAAATTCCAGTTGACACTCTTAAAAAAAAAAAAGCACACAAAGTGATAAAAATGTTACTGTGTTTGTGACCTGAAAAACCTGTGGTGTAGTTAAAGTAAGACTTGGACCCCTCTACAGACTATACAACCAGTAGTACATTCACAGGCATGTGTTGAAAGATTATAACAGGAACCACTCTTGGAAGGCTGTTGAAGAGCTGAACATCTGCACCCTCTGAGGAGGAAAGACAGGTTCTTCAGTTGGCTTACAGATAAACCACTTAATCATGTACTTTCATGCTGAGACCTGATAGCATCTACTTCCAAAAATTCCCCACAAAACACTTCTGAATCCCTTCCCAAAGGATGTATCACGATAGGATCTGTGCTCACCAGTAGACACTGAAGTGTTGTAATACTTCTAGTGGTCACAGATTGGTCAGTATGACATGATGGCTCTCTGCCTGCACGACTGAACCAAGCTTCTTGTCAGTCTTCAGTGGCATAAAATTTAAGAGTTGTTCCCATTTGCCAGGCCAAGCTTGAGTAAAAAAGGAGAAATTAGTCTACTGCTGCTCCTTGTTCACTGAGTAGTAGTCACAGGAGCTTAAAACACTAATCTGCTTACATCAGTGCTGTACATCCCAGTAATCAGACTTGAGGCTATGAAACAATGCATCTTTGACTTGATATTGTGGTAAAAGTCACAAATGGAACTTTTGGAACATGCGGCACTGTGTTTTTATAAACATGTGTCAGATCTGCGACAAAACACTTCTGAATCCCTTCCCAAAGGATGTATCACGATAGGATCTGTGCTCACCAGTAGACACTGAAGTGTTGTAATACTTCTAGTGGTCACAGATTGGTCAGTATGACATGATGGCTCTCTGCCTGCACGACTGAACCAAGCTTCTTGTCAGTCTTCAGTGGCATAAAATTTAAGAGTTGTTCCCATTTGCCAGGCCAAGCTTGAGTAAAAAAGGAGAAATTAGTCTACTGCTGCTCCTTGTTCACTGAGTAGTAGTCACAGGAGCTTAAAACACTAATCTGCTTACATCAGTGCTGTACATCCCAGTAATCAGACTTGAGGCTATGAAACAATGCATCTTTGACTTGATATTGTGGTAAAAGTCACAAATGGAACTTTTGGAACATGCGGCACTGTGTTTTTATAAACATGTGTCAGATCTGAGTTTCTGTTGCCTTCAAGGCTGGTTTACATCTGCTCAAGGAAGAAAACTGAAAGATGTGCTTCAGTTAGACTTCCAAAGACCTCTTTCAGATGATCTCAGCAGCTGCTGTGTCTTGCAGATCAGTTCATGGTCCTGGAGCATATCCTTACCTTTGTTCTGCACAAGGCTTGAGTACAGTCTCTGCATTCATGTCAGAGTCTGACCACTGACCACTTTGAACACTGTCCTGTTTAACTGGTCTGGAACGTTGTTTCTTAATATCTTCTATGTGCTAGAGGTCCTTAACTTAGATTTGCTTGCCCCAGTGTGGAAAACTTAAAATATGCAGCTTGGGTTAGGAAGTTGTCTTTGGCAGGACCTATTTGGTATTGCTTTCTCCTTCCCTTCTGCACTGAATTCATGTGGGAGTGGCTCTACCTATATGAATGAAAGCTGAAATTTCTAATTTGATTAATTAAAATAAATGCTGGACAGGTTTGTGGAATTTTAGTGCTTTATCTTGTGGAACTGTCTTTTGGAATGGTTCAGGACATCATTTCTGTTAAAATTAGTTTTAGTTATTAATTATCCTACAGTGAAGATGAGGTTCTTTGCTTAGGCTTCATGTTAGTTTTTCAAAGAAAAGGTTTTGATTTTTCTTATCTGCCCTGCATATATCTGTTACTTCCAAAATTCCTTAATAAAACAGCGTGAACTGTGCATGCTTCAGAGCAAAGTTTTGCTAAGGAGATGTTAATATTTGAAAATGTGCCAAGCCTTTTCAGCTAATATCTGTTAAAATTTGACACTTAATTCTCTTGAATGTCAGATGTAGTTTTTATTTGCTATCAGAAATAAGTTCATTAGAAATAAACAATACAATATGCATGTTATGTTAGATATATGCATATATGCATTTTTTCTTAGTGGATCTAATGAAAATTTCCTTTTTTTTTTTTTTCTTCCCCCACCCAGGGTTTGGAATACTAGTCTGACCACTGACCACTTTGAACACTGTCCTGTTTAACTGGTCTGGAACGTTGTTTCTTAATATCTTCTATGTGCTAGAGGTCCTTAACTTAGATTTGCTTGCCCCAGTGTGGAAAACTTAAAATATGCAGCTTGGGTTAGGAAGTTGTCTTTGGCAGGACCTATTTGGTATTGCTTTCTCCTTCCCTTCTGCACTGAATTCATGTGGGAGTGGCTCTACCTATATGAATGAAAGCTGAAATTTCTAATTTGATTAATTAAAATAAATGCTGGACAGGTTTGTGGAATTTTAGTGCTTTATCTTGTGGAACTGTCTTTTGGAATGGTTCAGGACATCATTTCTGTTAAAATTAGTTTTAGTTATTAATTATCCTACAGTGAAGATGAGGTTCTTTGCTTAGGCTTCATGTTAGTTTTTCAAAGAAAAGGTTTTGATTTTTCTTATCTGCCCTGCATATATCTGTTACTTCCAAAATTCCTTAATAAAACAGCGTGAACTGTGCATGCTTCAGAGCAAAGTTTTGCTAAGGAGATGTTAATATTTGAAAATGTGCAAAGCCTTTTCAGCTAATATCTGTTAAAATTTGACACTTAATTCTCTTGAATGTCAGATGTAGTTTTTATTTGCTATCAGAAATAAGTTCATTAGAAATAAACAATACAATATGCATGTTATGTTAGATATATGCATATATGCATTTTTTCTTAGTGGATCTAATGAAAATTACTTTTTTTTTTTTTCCCCCACCCAGGGTTTGGAATACTGTGATGAAAGGTACAGTTTAGATCTCAGTGGTGGAATCTTTCCCTTGAGGGGGCAGACCAGCAATACTAAATTACTCAGCTGTCAGACCATAGAGAAATTTCGCAACCATGCAGACAGAGAGGACAGCGTTAATGAAGGTTTGTTCTGATGTCCCTCCTTGGTTTTTCTGAACTACATAGCTTGGAAATCTAAGCAATGAATGCTGTTCTATACCCACAGTCTTAAAGTCTTAAATATTAGTCTAACTGACCTTGTTGGGCTTATTAAAAAAACCTGTGTGCTTAAGTTATGTGAGGCTTCCTATCCCTCTGGACATGATTCTTGAAGGGAAAAAGTAGGTTTTATTTTATGTTTGCTATGATGCTAGAGCAGTGTATGGGGTCATCAGCATAAGGCCAGTCAGTCAGTTTGTTCTGCCAGTTGTCTGCATTGAACAGTAAATCATTCTGTCTATTGCTTAGGAGTGGTACCTGAATTTTATTATCCTGCTCAAACCTCTGGCTGCATCCATTTAGCACCTGGTCACTAGTGGTGTTCCCAGGGCTCAGAACTGGAGCCAGTTCTATTTCATACCTTTTTTTTTATTATCTGGATGACCACCTTGATGAGCGAATAGTTGTGCGTTTGGTTTGTTTTGGAACCAATACATTTTGAACAAGAAAAAGAGACAGGATGATTAAAACCTATCAGATGGATGTTTGCTACTCTGTATATTGTTTTTATCATTTAATAAAGTGTTGTGTTTCATGAGTGAAATAACAGAATTAAGCCAAAATAGAAAGTGATGTTTTGAAAACAGAAAATATCTCATATTTTCTACAACAAGAAAAAATGTCTTGTCTTTGACAGTAATCTCTCCTGACACCAGTGTATCAATCTTCAGTTGGCAAGTGAATACCTATGGTCAGGGAAAACCATCTACTTATTTGGGAGTGTTTGACATCAATCGCTGGTATCACGCCCAAATGCCAGACTCACTGAGGTAGGTTTTAATCAAGTGGTTTTCAATATCCCTACAAAGGGTTAATTTGAAAATTGCTGTTGAGCTTATGCACTTGCTCTCTTTAAGGCCAGAAGAATTGCTTCATGATTGCCCCTATTTTGCACTGTGGTCACTGGATCCTGTAATAAGCATGACTTCTCCAAACCTCATTTTGGATATTCTGGTACACGAGCGTAGTCTAAGTCGGGGGGTTCCTCCTTCTTATCCACCACCTGAACAGTTTTTTAATCCAAGCACCTATAATTTTGGTGAGTATTTCACTGCTTTTCATCTGAATAGTGGCAAGCTTTGGTGGAGGTCAAATGCCAATGGTTCTTTTTCTTGTTCATTGTTTGTCACACAAAAAACAAATCACATAAGCCCCACAAACCTTCTCCAACCTGGATACCTGGATACCTAAGTGCCTGACAAGGTACTTAGTCTTGTGAAACATATCTGAGAGGCGGCTGAGTTTTGGGTTTTGGGGCTTCTGTAACATAGCCTGGGAAGGGATGATGGTCACAAAATGAAATGCCTTTGAGCTGAGGCCCAAAGCACAGCACCTGGGTAGCACTCAAGCTTAAGTTTCCAAGGAGAGAGAGAGAGAGAGAGTAACTCCTTTTTATGGGACGTGTGTAAGTGATGTGATGAAGGAAAAGGGAGGTGCTGGAGGTTTGTCTTTGCAGAGAGCACAATTTAAAAAGCATAAAGTGGTGATGAGGTAACAAGGTCTGTCAAATGTTCCTTGTTTCTGCAGATGTGACGTGCTTGCTCAACTCGGGAGTTGTTCACATGACTTGCACGGGCTTCCAGAAGGAGGTGACTGTTTTTACTGTATTGAGAGAGTGTCAAGAGATGAACCTTTTCTAACTTTTCCCTTGCAGTGCTTTGAGTGGCAGAGACCACCTGATGCAGTCATATCCTGCCAGTTTCATGGCTCTGTTCTAGGGAGGCATGAGCAGGGATTGAATGGCTAGAAAGGAACTGCAGCACTGCTGTAGTAGGCAGGATGAGTTGGTGGAAGTAAAGTGTTGACTTCTTTGTATAGTGTGGAGTTAGGGTTTTGATCCCTGATGAAGTTGAGAAAGGAGGACAGTGTGGAGAAAGGGAGAAGTGCTGTAACTGTTGAGGAAGAAATGCATGTTTTTTCTCTCAGCCTTGGCCAAATTATAATTTCTGAGCCAGTGCACAGTTTAGGACAAGCCCTTTCAAATTAAGTTCCAGCTCACTAAATATACCCATATAAATCATCTTCCTCACAAATGAGCCTAGAGTCTTTCAAAGAGTCATGTGTAGTTTTCCTAGTTTTAACTTCTATGGAATGTGTCAATTTTCAGGGAAAAAAATTGTGTCAATGTTCAGGGAAAAGCAAGGCCTGTGTATTGACAGAGAGGCTGGAAAATACTTTCTTGCCTTCAGCATTGCAAGGATTTTTTCTTCTATAGAATGGGTTTTTTTAGAAACTCAGACTGTTAGTGTGCTGCTGTCTTTAAGACTCTACATAGCAATGCTTTCCAAAATTGCTAATCTAAAGCCTACTGCTACTAATACAGCTTTCTGGCAGTCTTAAGTGATCTTAGTAATTGAATGCTGTCTTAACCTGTGTGTTTTGATTGATGTTCCAGACCCTGAAGTTTTTGAAGAAATCTGGTCCTTTAATAAGTGAAGCCATTCGTGACAGCTACACTCGGTGTCTTGTCGCTGGCTTGCTGTCTCCAAGACTGGTTGATGTCCAGCCATCCAGTCTGAGTCAGGTGGGTGTACACTGGGGAATCCAGGGGGAAATACATCCATCTTGTCTGCAGGCTGTAGAGGCTACAAGACCATGATTTTTGATTGCAAGCTGCTCTGAGAGGCAGGTTTTGACATACAGTTAGCAGAAATAATAATATTCTTAGATCCAGTCTTCTGGCTGTGAACAGCCCTGAGAGGTTTGTCTTCAGTGACCCGTGTGTAAATTCCATGCTGCAGGTCCACATGCAGAAGCATTCAGTCAGTGCTGAGCATGTGCATCAGAAAGCAGCTTTCCGTGGGGACAGCCTTCATCCTCTTCATGCCCTCAGTGTCTCAGAGCCTTGGGTGCAGTGCAGTAGGTGGCACTGATGCTGCCTCCCTCAGCTGTGCACTATTGCAAACCCCAGCTTGCTGCACTAGACATCATTTCCTTCCAAGGAAGTGCTAGCCAGTTATATTGGTGCTCTCTACCTGACAGTTGCATCACCACTTCCCCTCATTTTCCCTTAATCAGTAGGTTTTTCTGCACCCTGTCAAAACTGACCTTTACCTCTCTAGCCTTTGCCTTGAGCTGTGGTTGCTCGATTTCCTCCTCTTAGACTGCCCCCTTGCTGCAGCACCTGCATCACCTGTATCTCTCAACACTGCTACATTCTGTCTGTCACCACAGTGGCTTCACACCCCTCTCTCATGGGTTTTTCATTTTCGGTGCAGCAAACTTCATTTCTCATCTGAAGAGTTTCATTAAAGAAGGAGCCTTTGTGATGAACAGCTCATCTTTCTCCAGGCAGGGTCAAAGCTGAAGGGTTGGATGGTCATCATGGAGTGGAGCAGCAAGCACTAGGAAGGGGAGACCAGTTTGCTAGAAAGCATTGAAGAGAGCGACAAACATGCAATTGTATCCTTTCCAGATTCTGTTATTTCTCCTTCAGTCTGTGCACATAAAAGTTTTTACATCTTTGTCACCTGTGTGCTTAACAGCACTTTTAAATTTATGCCTCAAACACAGCTTGAGTAAACACATTTAGGATAGCATTAAGTCCTAGACAGAAGCATTGTTTAATTTCTTTCTAGATTGGCATTTTTCTGATTTAATTTTTAATTGTTTTGTTCCAAAGTCTCTTCTCACATAGGAAAACATGTTCTCTAAGTTATTCAAGATAAAAACCTTGCTTATTTGTTCTCAAATTTTAACACAGTTACTAATTTTTTAAGACACTCCTATATATAGCAATAGACTGCTTATTAGAGTGGTGCCCTAAAATGTATTGTTTCATAGCAAAATGGTTTGTAACTTTGGTTTTCCAGTTGCTGATTTTTGCCAAAATAATTTGTTTCCCAGCTCAGCTAACACTGTTTGTTTTTGGGGTATTTTTTGGCGTAAAAAGTGCAGGCACACGGAATATTCATTGGGCAGAAGCCTAATTTTTAGGCTTCTGGAGCATGTAGAATTGACTTTGTTGTTTGTTGGCTAAACCAAGAGTGGAGCCTGGAGAGCAAAGGGTTAAAAATGGTTGTAGTCCCAAGCTGCCTTACTCAGACATGTCCCTAACATGGGATGTCGGAAAGGGAAGATGACACATTGAGTGTGGGATCCACATGCAGTTTGAACAGTTTCAATCAGGCAGTTGCTTTGTAAGGGCACCGTAATTTGTGTTGGTTTTGTGAAGACAGGAAATGAGGAAAACAAAACAGCTGTAGAGCTTGTTTTCTTGAATAATTAAGCATTGGCTGTTGAAGTGTGTTGAGTGTGCAACTGGTAGCTTCAGTGATGGAAGCAGAATCCTGAGTTTATAACAGCAGTATATAAACACCCAATATCTGCCTTTTTGACTGCCTTCCAGAAATCCACAAGTGTTTCTTTCTGGAAGTATATTCAGAATACAGTTCTGTGATTAGGACCTGACTATTGATATAATGGGTTGTAATAGCTTAAAATGGCAAGATCAGTACCTTGGGCTGTTCTGCTTTCTACTATTTTCATGTTCTTATTTCATTGTTTTGCCAAATGTAATGTGATACAAGTTTTTATCTTAGCAATTTATTTACCTTAGTTAGACACTCTCAGACAATTTACTTGCTGCTGGATATTATGCATTCCTCTCCAAATAAAACAGAGACTTCAATTGACTCCTTTCCAACTGCCTTTGCTATCCCTTGGGGTCTTGTTAAGCTGATTCAAGGCTTTTGGCTCCTAGATCACAATGATTATGAAGTAAGTATGAAACAGTTGAGTTAGACACATACTGCACTGCAAAACTGCAATCAATAAAATTATTTTTGAAATTGTTACTTAGGTGTTAGGAGCTGTTGGAACATAAGCAGCTGTTTTGTAACGCTGGTCTGACATCTTCAGGAGCAAGTTATGATTTGAAATTTTGCTTTAACTGCTTTGAGAGAAAATTTATTAAAACAATGGAGTAATCAACTTAAATAATGCTTAATAATTGAATTTTCAAAGCTGTCTTCAGATAGGTTTTTAGCAGACTGGTTGGACACTGTTTCTAGAAGAGTGTTTTGGTACTTGAAGCATGGAAACTGTGATGGTAGCAGGAATATTTGAGAGTCAAGACTGCAGGAGTGACTTTTCAACCGAAGAGCTATTCTTTCTGATACTGAATGTTGTTCTTTTAACTGTGTCAATGCAACCAATTTTTTTATTGCATAAATTGTCAAGTAATGTATTTATTAAAAGCAATGTCTGTACACAGGGTTTTGTGAACTTAGAAAAATCTGAGTTGCTCCTGTTAACACATTCACTTTGCTCTCGGTGGCTGATTATCAACAGCAACAAGGCAGGCTAATGCAGGAAATGTGCATACAAGAGCAACTTTCATCAGTAAAGTGTTGTCCAAAATTGGAGAAGTATGGTTAGGAAATGAGCAGAAAACAAATATCTCACAATATGATAGGTAAGCAGCCTTTTATAAAAGTTACTCTTAAGCTCTGTATTTGGAGAGGGAGGTGGAGAGAGAGTGAGTTGTAGGGGGAGAGAAAGTCATTTTGGTTTGAATTGTGTTAGCTTTTTGTTGGGAAGGTGGACATGAATAAAGCTTTGTTTTGCCTTTCTACACATATATAACAGCTAATAATCACGTCCTCCTGTGTAGTGTTTGGAGAGTTTTTCTGCTATGATAATCTTCTCTATACAAATGCATGTATTTACATTATGGCAAATGAGTTTACAGTGTTTAAGAAGCTGAAACTCAAACTGTTTTTCACTACCATGAAACTGTTGCTGTACTGACTTTTATAGACTCATTTGTGTGATCACATAGTAATCTTTTACTAGTTCCTACTTGTTTATTTAAAAATAAGCAGAATTACAGCGGAGAAGAGGCTGTCCTACATGTGATGTAGTTAAATAAACTTTAATTCTGGTGTGGCTGGACTTTGAGGGATTGGAAATCAATTACGTTTTCATTTTCCTTCTAGTCCAAGAACTACAGAGCCAGCAGTCAGTACACATCTTCTCCCTAGTGCAGAGTTGCCTGATGCGTTTCTTGGGACACCTATTACAAAACTTTCTCAGAAGTGTTCAAGGTATAGTAGATCTACAGACTTCATATTTCAAAATTGTATTGTTTATCATGTATATACATGTGCATGTGTGTATGCTTTTTTGGTTTACCAAGGTTTCTGTTGGATTTAGTTTTGTATCTCAAAGAAAAAGTCAACTTAGGCACAAAATTAGGTACACAATTTGAAATGGTCCCTGCATTGAAATGTAGATGAGTTTTCTCCACTGATGAGAATTAGGTCACTTGTGCAACATAAAATTGGGTATTCTTATGTCAGAGGCAGGGATTTAGGAAATTAGGTATGAAATGTAAAGAAATAATGAAAAAAATGCCCCAAAGTGCCTGTCACTTTTTTGTGGGACTGACAGATCACCCCCTGCAGTCAGGTTGTATTTCTTGTTCATCCAATGTTTTTGTTCTGCATCATCTGAGATGGTCACAACATATTTTTTTCATTTATCTGTTCATGTTCCTAGTGTAAAATGAGTATTTTAACAGGTTGCTGGATTTGGTGGTTCGTCCTGTTCCTTCCCGCTCTGTGGCACAGGATGAGAGCTGGCAGTCCCCGTGCAGAGCTTCTACTTCTTTTGTGGCATCCAGCCCCCTGAGATCAAATACACATCGCTCCAGCTCCCAAAACAATCTGCCAAGAGCATCAGAGTTGAATTTACTGGAAACTCCTCGTGTGGTCAAGGTTTGTATTTTAAGAAGTCAGTAGCAACCAACCAAATGAAAAAGGTTTGTCTGAGGTTTGTTTTAAGTGAAATCACCAAAGTATTTAGTGGAAGTCCTCCTGGATTGAAATTTTCAGTTTGCATATGGTTATTAAATACACAGCCCTTTTTGAAGCAGTAAGTTGGGAAAAGTCTTTAAGCAGGAAACTTCAGTTCTCAGCTGATTGCAGTAGACAGCTTGTCCCATAGCTTTGTGAACTAAATTTATTTTTATTGTATAGAATAATTGCATCTTTTCACCTTCTTGTGAAGTACCATCCATACAAATGAACTAGCTTCCTCCTCCTCTTTTGAACCCTTTCAATACTGTAAAATAATCTTAGATAAGAACATCTGAGTGCTTTTACATAAAGATGTGTAGGTATTTCTGCAGCAGTGTCACTTCCTATTGTTTGCAGCTGATTAATTAATGAAAAAAGCTGTTGTCTGTTTCTTTGTAGAAGGGCAGTGACTGAAACCGCTGTGCAGAGGGAAGTTGTGTGCCATTATAAGAACAGTGTAGGAATTGCAAAAATTAGTGGGATAAGAGATAACCTTGCAGAAAACAAGCTGTTATATCCTTGATTCCCCAAGAAGTAATTTTTTGAATTAACTTTTATTTTGTTGGCATTACAAAGACAAACAAAGGGAAATATAAAAAGCATGTATTGTTATCTTTAAAATGTTGATATTTTTGGAAGAACAGTGCAGAGGCAAAACTTTGTTGCTATAAATCCAGTTCATAATTTAGGGTAATGAAATTTTTGTAATTTAAGCACAGTCTTCATTTAGAGGATTTAACTGGTCCTAAATTAAGTGTTTTTATTTCTTTTCCTAGAGAGCTAAAGTTTTGGCCACATCTTCCGGTTTTCCTGGGTTTACTCCTCAGTCTATTCTCAGGTCCAGCCTTCGCACTACACCCCTAGCAACTCCTTCTGCATCCCCAGGACGATCAGTTACTCCTCCTCTACGAGCAAAGGAACCTAGAATATCTTTCAGGGAAGAGAGCTCACATGCAAAGTGGACTGTTGGGGTAAGCTGGACTGCAGTTAGTGAGTTTTGCACATAACACTGTGATTTAATTTAGACTTTAGCCAAAACTCCTTATACTGAGAATCTGGATTGTGAATCAGAATGGCAGAATTTGGTTAAAAAAAAAAAAAAAAAAAAGATTATGTTGTGCTAGACATTTTGTAACATCATGTTCTTGCAGGAACATACTCATAATAAGCATCAAGGGACCATGGTGGGTTTTACTCAGATGTTCAGAGCGTTAGTTCACCTTTCAGCTATACCTTTTCAAATGGTAGTGTTGCAGGAAGGTAAGGAATATAGATGGAGCCTCTTGTTTGGGTTTGTTAAATTTTGTAAATTGAACATCTGGGAAAGTAACAAAAGTCATAAAGATGCATTGACTCTCAACCTGTGATTTTGCAACATTGGATTTACCTAAATGTTGGTAAAAAGAGACCCGTGATGAAGAGAACTGTAGTGTTTTGTTCTCTCAGGCCTAAAGTTCTTAGGTTTGCTTCTCGCCTTGCACCAGGGATAGCATCCCTGTAGTTTTCAAATGCAGTGAGTCCATCTGACCAGCTGTGGTCGCTTCTGCTCCTGCAGCTGTGTGGCTGGATTCTGTGGTTCAGCCCATCAGCCAGTTACCAGCATAGTGTACCCAAATAGGGGGCACAACAGGGGCATGTGCTGCTATCCCATGTGTGAGTAGCTGGTGTGTGTTACAAGGAGCTACTCAATTGTAACAAGATGTACTCTCTCCTGTATGAAATCCTTACTAGTATTGGTACTATGGCCAGATTAATTTGCTTGTTCCATGCCACAGGCATAGCTGAACACCAGCATATTTTGGTAGTGCATATGTGTTTCCTGAACAGGCAACCATAAAGTAGAGAAATCTTAGGGTTTTACTAGGCAAAGCTTTGTCTTTCCAAAAACACACTAGTAAACCCAGTGAAGAGCCTTGAGATGACATTGTGAGCAAGACTGATTTAATCCTAATTCTTTAATGTCATGGAAACTCATTAAGCAATCTAAGGTGTAATTAATTTTTAAACTCAGCCTTAACTCTAAGATAATGCTAGAATGAGAATTAATTTTTCATTGCCTCACTAAGGGGACATGTGGAACTTAGAAATATCAGTATTTGTTGGGGTTTTTTGTTTTGCTTTGACAACAAGCTGGCTCATGTTGCTGATCTGAACTTTTATTTTAGCTGACAGAAGATGATAAAGCACTATTTGGAGCTTCATCTGAGCATCATCATGGCTTGGTAGAGGATGCTTGGTCTGAAAGTAGAGCTAAACCAACTCTGTTAACTCTGAGCAATCCTGAGGATGGTCGTGCTGAATTGCAGGAATCTTCAGAAAGCATACCTGGAGATGATTTGGAGAAGATGGATGTCAGCAAGGAAAATAGTAACTTCTCTGTCAGATCAGACCAGACTACTTTGGAGTATCATGATGCAAAATCACCTGGTGATTTTGAAGATGATGTCATCTTTATAGCTGCTAAACCAGCTAATTCTTCCACTGAAGAAACTGTTGATGTTCAAGAATTGGAGAAGGAGGAAGAAAGTGAAATGGTTGAAGATAAACCTTTCCAGATTAAACAACCTGATCCTTCAGGACAAAGAAAAGAAGCAGGTATGTTTCATGCTGTGATACCATAAGTTCCTGAATTTTTTAAATGTCATCAAAAGATTTTCTGAAGAGTGCAGTATTTAATGATGAGTTTTCACAAGTGCTCTAAGCTTTTAAAATTACCTCTATATTTTAAGTCCTTTTTTATGTATCCTGGACCTTATAAATGTATATTTCCCTTTACTGACTTTTTTTATGTAATTGCAGCTGAAAGGCAGCAGTGTGGGAGTTTTGAAAGGGATACACGTTTAAAACTTTGGCTTCTGTTATGTTTTAGGAGTACTTTTATAATTTGCAGTAATTTTTACATTATTTGACTGAAATTATGCATCAGGCTTCTTGTTCTGCTGGAAAGAACACAGGCCATCTGTGCACTTGAAGTCTTGGTAGCATTATTTTGTTAAGTCCCTATCCTAGGTGAAATGCATAAAGGATCACTTTAAACTTACATGAGCAGTTTAAAAGAGGTGATGTTGAGTGCAACAGGGAAGTCATCCATCTCTTCATTTCTGTAGGATTTGTGGAAGAATCAAATGCTGAATATCATACCCTTCCTGAGTACAAGTCGGTGTTTAAAGCTGCTGAGGCTGCAACTTCTGGGGCTGGAAATGAACGGTGAGCTTATGAAGTAGATACATCTTTGGGTTCACACAACATATAGCTGCTGGCATTTCTGTGTTTGAAAATTGATTTTTGACCTGGGATTAGTTCTTTAGTTCTTTACTGTGTTCTTATTTGTAGGGGCTTGTCTATTCCATTCTGTCTGTGACCAAAAGTAATCTGGCATGAATGTAATGCATATTGACTAGCTGTCAATTTGAGCCCTTTTCCTCAAATTATTGCAGACCACAAAGTATGATGATAGACTTTATTCAACAGTCCCATACAGACCTTGTGAGAGTTACTAAGCACATACCGTGAACATAAGTTTTTTGGTATTTTTTTTCTGAGAATTGTGTAGTTAAAAATGAATCCTGAGATTTCTGTAACTTCAATGGGTTTATTTTGGAGTTTGAATGCTTTCTGCCAGTATTTTTTACATGTAATTTCTGTTTTCTGTGTATGCTCAACTAGCATCTATTTGTTTATGGGAAGGGCAGCCATTTTTTCACTGGGTTCTTTAAAAGCTGCAACTGCTGTGTGATAAAGACAGAATGTCAGCAATGAGAGAACCCTTAGTTTCAAGTGGTAATTTTTACCAGTACAGACTATTGTTCCGTTGGTTCTGAACCTCTTATTGTAGTTGCCCTCTTTCTGCAGAAGACAAATAATACGTTATTCTGTAATATACCTCTGTTATATTATTATCTAGTGTTGGCTAGTTGGAAGGAATGTTAAGTACTTGATTAGCTGCATAAAATAAGTTACAAAGTGAATTGCAAATTTAGTCACAAATTGAATATGTTGGTGGAAGAATTTCTAATTTTTCATCTATTTTTCGTGATTTGAAATTTGAAGATTTTACAGTGAGAAAGTAACTTTTAACACTCTTAGTGGTGTGTTTTCAAGCTTTATGATGAATTTCTCTCTTTTCATGAAGTGAAACAACCTGCCAGGAGTCTGAAATGACCTCTTCATCAGAAGAAAAAGCCATACTGGTTGCAACAAATCCACAGCTTGCTGAATCCCCGGAGGCAGACAGTGAATGTATGTTGGAAGTGTTCTGTGTGGTAGGGTAGCAGAGCTCCTCAAGTGAAATGTGTAGCTTGCCACACCACTGTAGGTGTCTCAGATTGAAATAGTAGTTACTGCTAACTTTCATTAGACTGTAGAAGGAACACCCTACTTAAAGAAAGTCTTCGGAGAAAGTGCACAGTGAATCTTTTAGTATTGAGATACTGGTAGAACTTAAAGTATTATCAGGAGAGATCTGTGTTTATTTTAATGTTGTACACCACATGTGTACAACAATTTGTGTGCCATGTGATCTGCTGCTTGATTTACTATTTTAAAAAATGCTGCACCCTCAGTGTTCAGACTGAAGCAACTGCCTACCAGTGTGCCTTTGCAGCCACATTTTCCTCTTTGTTTCCCTTCCATGGACTTGACAACTGATTTTCTCCTCCTTCTTCCTTGCTGTGGGGCCGCATCCTTTACCCAATCTGTAGTTAACCAATTGACAACTAAGCCCCACACAGCCACTCACTGATTTCCCCTGGGTAAATGGAGGAGAGAATCAGAGAGCTAAAGGTGAGAAAACTCACGGGTTGAGATAAAGACACCTTAATAGGGAAAGCAAACGTCTTGCGTGCAAGTCAGGCAAAACAAGGAATTCATTCACCACTTCCCATTGTGGGAAGCAGGTGTGTGTTCAGCCATCTCCAGGAAAGCAGGAAAATGGGTCATGGGAAGGAAGACAAACGCCATAACTTCTAATGTCTCCTGATTCTTCCTTTCACCTGCCTTTCTTGCGGAACATGATGCCATATTTTATGGGATGTCAGTTGGGGTCAGCTGTCCTGGCTGAGTCCCCTCCCATCTCCTTGTGCACCCCCAGCCCACTCATTGCTGGCATGGTGTGAGGAGCAGGAAAGGCCTTGGCTCTGTATAGGTGCTACTCAGCAGTAACTAAAACATCCCTGTTATCACCACTGCCTTCAGCACAAATCCAGAATAGAGCAGTACCAGCTACTATGAAGAAAATAACCATCCCAGCCAAAACCAGCGCAATAGTTTTAGCTTTTGGAGAAAGCCCAATATATGTGGCAGGATTGAGAACCATATTGTTGGCTCTTGCTAGCTCTGTTACTTCTTTTTGCTTAAACTTACATCATTTATATAAAGGTTAAGGTAAAATGACATAAATCTCTTCTAGCTGTGATAAGTATCCTTGAGAGTGAGGACATGGTCAGTACTCCATCTCAAAATCGACTTGAGGACAAGCGTGTGGATTTACCTGAAGAATGTAACCCTGAAGCAGCTGCAGCTGAAGAAGTCCCTGTTTCTAACAATCCTCCAAAAACTGAGGAAATTAATGTAAGTAAACTATTTTCCCATTTTCTACACAATAGAACAGTTTACAAATTGAGGACAGACCTGTTGTACTGATAATTTGGATTCACTCAAAAAATGTGTCTGTTTCTTGAGCTGCTTAAGCTAAAAACCTTAATGTTGTGTGGGCAGATCTGTTTTTCTCTTCTGCACTCTCTGTTCCTATAACATGAATGGGACCTGTCAAGACTTAGGCCTTTGAAAGCAAATAAAACCAAAATAAAAGCCTAAACTAATTTTGCAACCAGCTAGGCATTAATTTGATTTACTTGAATACAAACTTTATTTTACTTTAAAAATAGTTTTAATGTTAAAGACAATAAGAAAGTTACAGGAGTGCATCTTCTTTGTACTGGTAACCAGTTACCAAATGACAAAAATATGTGGGAACCAAGCTCAGAAGAGTGCTTAGGTGCTTATTTAGGTGCTTAGGTTGTTTGTTCCTTCTTAAAACACAGAATTCCCAGTAGTGAGTTCATTTTGGTGTCAAGATATTTCTTCAAGAGATGGAAGCATTTAGAACTTGCGTGTTATCTCATGCAGTCCAAGTGACTCCTCAGACTGCAGTGTTGAAGTTGTTGGATGTGATGCCTGGCCAATGTAAATGCTCCTGTCAGAACTATCATGACTGAAGCTTTAAGCACTGGGGACCCAATTGTACTTTACCCTGTCAGAGGCAGTGGGGCACTCTGGCTGTGGAGCAGTGCAGAGGATACTGCAATGTTATGGGCACCTCTGGTTGCATACACACCTTGTATTGGAAAACTGCTCCTGGTCATGGGCAGTGGCAAATGGTCAGTTCTGAACAGAAATATCAGAAACAGAGCATGTGACTTGCACACAGGGACTGCTCTGATCCCTGTGCCTCAAATACATAAACTCTTAGCTGGAGTACAAAAGTGCATTGTTTCACATTCAGGGTGGTTTTAAGGGAACTGTCCTCAGTTTCATCTAGCTCAGTGTGAAGTTAGTCTGTTTGGCATTGAATAAAGTATTAACAGGCATTTTTTAACTTTAGGTTATAGAAGATACCTCAGAACCAGCACCTGAAACATCACCATATAGTGAGCTAGATCCATCAAGAGTTCTTCATTATAGCTATGAAAATATAGAGCAACAGTTTGCATGTGATTTGCCTGATAATAAAGATAATGAATGTGATGCAGCTGAGGGAGATGGAGACCTTTTTCTCTCTCAGAATAATTTTACCTTAGTTTTGGAAGGAGAAGAAGGGGAAGCAGAGATGGGAGACCCTACATCAATAGATGCTTCTAAACCAGATAACACAATAACAGAAGAAAAGCCTGTGACCAATTTAGAAAATACTGAAAACCAGGAACATGTTACAAACTCGGTGTCGACTGTAACTGGCGATCAGGAATCTCAGAATATTGCAGAGTCACTCCCGTATGTGCCTGAACCTATTAAGGTTGCCATTGCTGAGAACTTACTGGATGTAATCAAGGACACAAGAAGTAAAGAATTTACATCTGAAGTTGTAGAGCAATCAATTCATGAAACCATAGGTAAAAAGGTAACTAGATTCCAGAAGGCAAAGGCTCCCTTAACACCTGTGCTAGAAGCAGTGGGAGAGGAAACCAGCAGGCATCATTATGGCACTGCTCCAAGAACCCGCACAAGGGGACAGCTGGGTAGAAGTCCGGCTGTTCTGTCAGCAGGCGCTCAGCAGCTGCTGAAGACTGACAGCCCTGCTCTGCTCGGACTGTCTCCTCGGAGAAGTACCAGGCGAACAAAAGAAGCATCTGAGACTCCCAGGCTCCAAACAGAGGAAAATGCTCAAGAGGAGCAAATACCTGTGACACCTGTTACTCCTAGGAGAGGTAGGAAACCTAAACTGTCTAATCTAGAAAAAACAGAAAGCAGCCATTCTGATGGACAAACCTTGTCTGACAGTACACAACCTGTTACTCCCAGAAGAGGGTTAAGGAGAGCAAAGGAAGCTGCATCTGAACTCCTAGAAGAGGCTAATGAGGAAACTCCTCTTGCTGAAGGCAGCAATATTGCTTCTTCTGCTTCCAGAAGGACTAAAGGAGGAAAAAGTTCAGTTGGAAATGCAGAAACTGACAAGGCTGACACTGATCATAAAGTAAAAACAGCAGTCAGTCCCAGTAGAAGTGCAAGAAAATTGAAAAGCTTTAATTTACAGTTTACTGAAGATACTGTCAAGGATCAACAGGTGCAGCTTAGTGACCAACTCCTTTTACCTGTGCCAAGTAAAAGAGGCAGAAGAAGAAAGATTAGTTCATCAGAAGTTTCAGAAAATTCTGATCTTGATGTGTCTAAATCATCGCTTCCTCAAACAGAATTTAAACTTCCCGTCACGCCTAGAAGAAGTGCTAGGAAGGCAGCACAAAACCTCTTGGCAGACTCAGAGTCTACCTCTTCTCAGGAAGACACACATTCAGGTGTGAAAGTAGAAGCCCTTGATACTCCTAAGAGAAAAACTAGGAGAGTGCCACACAAGAACCCAGAAAAAGAGGATACTCATGAACAAACTCCTGCAGAGCCAAATGAGGAGCCAGCCACACCCAGGACTGCAGTGAGGACAGGGCGTCGGGGCAGGAAGAGGAGATCCATGTCTGAGGAGACCTCCCAAGGACCTGGTGGCAGTCCTTTGCTGCTGGAAGACATAAACCCCTCAGGACGTGATCAGACATCAACAGCTCTGACAGATCGTGTTACAAGAACCAGATCCCGCAGGACTGCCATCCATCAGAAACTGTCTGTTGAGGAAAATGAGGCTTTCCTTTTCTCTCCTCCTCTCACAAAGCTCACAAAGAAATTTGAAGGTAGGTGCACTGTGTTTATATGCAAAAGAGGGCATGCCCTCTTCTTTAAACCACCGAAAACAAACTATGAGGATGGCTTTAAGTATTGTAAAAAATGCAAGCATGCAAAAGAAAAAATTCACCAAGAGGCAGTTCATCTTTTGTCTCAAATCTGTGTGACTGCCTGCTTAGTTCTGGTAGAAATAGAAATAGATTATGAATCTGATCTAAACTGTGAAATTAAATTTAAGCTATATTTTTGTAAGGAACTTACTTCCTGTCAGATTTTGAAAACCAGAGATTTATTTGTGAATATGTGATTGCCACTCCTTCCCCCCCAGTAGAGAAATGTGTGTTTCCAAATTCTGTTCACTTTTCAAGTTCAGATGAGCTGCATCTTGCAACAAACTGTACAGCTGTTTAATTATGTGATTTTTTTTCATGAGTGTATACTTTGTCAGTAAAATTACTGTACACAGGAGTCTTTTAATTACAGTACATGATAAATTTTTTTGAGATATGTAAGGACTGTTGATGCCTCTGGAGTATAATATCTTTGGTTATGTAGGTGCAGGTAAAATCACTACATTGGCTTAATTTTGTTTCACTATTTATGGTAAAAGAATGAATCCCAAGAGGCAGTTACTAGGGGGGAAAATGCCTTTGCATGGAGTGTTTATAAAGCTGATTGGACCTTTATTTTGGGAAGCTATTGTGCTCTTGTCAGCTGTAATTCAGTATTACTGTCCCTCATGTATAATGTATGTGCATGCTAACAATGCATTGTCATTTTAGCTGGAAAAACAGACCATCCTGTGAAGTTTCAGGATTTAGACCCAGATTTGTCTTCTCAATTTGTCTTTTCACCTCCTCTTTTGAGGTCAAGGAGAAAAACTGTAGCTAACATTTCCCGAATTGTGAAAGAAGCAGTAAGTAAAAGCTCCACTTTTCCCATGTTCTTGATTTTAATTCTGTACCATTTTTTGGGATCGTGCTTTGCAGTGCTTTGCCTTTTTTCATTGGAAACATATCTAAAAAGAGCTTGAAATTAATCAGCTAAAAAGTTTATTGTTTTTCTTAATGAAAACTAGCTACAAAAGTCAGTTTTGAATCTATGTAAATCAAGAATTGATAAATACTGTTTTGCCTTCAGCAAAAGGCACAGTGGCTCTCTTTAAACTTACTTGGTATGTTATCTTTTAATTTCAGAATTTTAACTTTTAGGATGGTAAAATAATTAGATGGGGAAGGTTTGTTTTTGAAAGCAAAGGGTACTTCTGGAAATAACTTCAGCATGATTTCGTAATGAAAAACCATTATTATTCCATAGAAGTCTAAGAACTTGTTCATGAATAACATTTTTGTTGTCCTAACATAGGAACTTCCAGCTAAAGAAGAAGAGGATACCAAATCCATAGAGTCTGGGGGAAAGCAAAAATTGAAGAGAGGTAGAACTCCAAAATCAAAAATGAAGAAAGAAAGCAAGTATGAAATAAGTTTTGAACAGTTATTTCTTAATGTGATGGTGACTCAGCTGTTAAGTACCCAACTACTTCTTCCACACTTGGCTGTGCAGGTCTTCTGTCACTCCATCAGCCTGTCCAGCTTGCTGGTCTAATAGGCACCTTTTCCACATTTAAGAAGGTTTGGTTTGCTAATGGAAAAGGAAGAGGGAAAGAATAAAAAAGAGCAGATGGATATTAATTGCATTGGTGACATTGCAATGCTCTTACATGTCACTATAGGACACGAGACAACATGATGCAGACACGCTGTTGCTCTCAAGGCAAGAAAAAAGGGAAGTTTATTTTCTGACTCCAACATTTATAGATTTCCAAAGGTGGCAGTGGATTGGAGGGTGAGAGTGCTGCCTCTCCAAGGACACTGGACAAACCAACAGTCCATCAAGTTTCTCCTCCTTCATAAAAGAATGCAAAATAATAAGTTGTTTACAGAAAGTGTGTGAGAAAGTTTGATACAAGAATGCAAACATTAGAAGGCTTAGAAAATCTTAAAAAATCAGAGTAGCACTTAACATTGTCTTATTCTGCTTTATGAACTCAAACTCTTTGAGTTTAGCTTCTCATACAAGGTGGGAGATGGCCCGACAATGAATAAAGGGAATGAAAGCAAAACAAACTGATTCATGTACCTTTTCTACCTTAATTCTATCTACAAAGAAGCCCATGCATTTTTTAAAATTGATTTTGGAATTCCATGACATTTTTTTTCTGAATTAAATACTGTTAGTACTGAAAAATTAATTTGATGCCTGTCCTTCTTTTCAGAACCACAAAAGATTCTTGGTCACCTCCACCAGTCGAAATAAAATTCATCTCTCCTTTTGGAAGTCCAGTGGATGGAACAAAAACCAAACAGAAAGAAACTACAGATGCAGCAGGGAAGACCCTAAGAAAGAACAAAAAAAGACTGTCTAATTTTCCAAAGCCAGTTGTGCGCCGGAAGATGCTGTAACTGTTTTTTTTAAGTTTATAATGTACACCACTGTTTGTAAAGTCATCAAAATTGTGTGAATTAGTAAGAAGAAGAAAAATCATCTAATTTGGAAGAGATAATTTATATAAATTATTGTAAAATTTCATTAAAAATGGTCTTCAGTAAGTAACTCCATATGGAGTGTGATTTCCTCAGTCAATGCAGTTTTCTATTTTATATTAAGACTTCATACATTTATATAATATGTAAATACAGCTTATTTTAGGAATGTTAAATAAAAATGTATACTTCACAATGTGCTTACTGTCTGATAGCTTTTTGAGGGAATATTGGGTTGAATGACCTGTATTGCTCAGAACTTTTAATGTTGGTTTGTGGGAGTTACAGACTCTCAAAAGTGATTCCAAAAGCTTTTAAAAAGTTTGTTTAGAATTCCTGTAACAAGTAAACATTTTAAGCATACTAGTTTTAATTTTAAAATTATGTTTGACCTTCTGGCACAAATAATTAAACTTACAATACAAACTGGTAATTCTTTACATTCACGGTTAAGTTGTACTGTATTGAAGTCAGAATGTAAACAATTGTGTTTTAAGCTGTGCAATATTTTTTTTTTTGTATTTGTCTTAAACTTTGGGAAAGCTGCTCTTTAGTTCATAAAACCAGATCACACCTCAGATGTGTCATTATTTCTAAAAATTTGTTATCAGCAAAAAGTTAACTGTACAGATGGTGTGATGGTTACCATAGCATATCAGATTTAAAGGGATACTACCCAGAGACTTTGAAATTTGAGCCAGAATTATTTTCATAATATGACTGCTACTATAATTGAAATACGTACTGTCTGTAAACATGCTTTGCAGTATTTGAAACCTGCATATCACAGCGCTGAAAACCTGATGGTAAAGCCTATATAATAGTCTGGAAAAGGTACAAAATTGTACAGAAATCTTAGTTACAAACCGTATTTTTGAATAATTGTTTCATTAACAGTCTTGGGTTAAGGATTCTATGTCCCTATAAAGTTTCAATTTGTATAAATAAAGTCACAAACCTATTCTTTTAAAAGCAGACATGGAAGTACTATTTTGATGTGCAGTCTTTTAGACAATGGATTATTTTTCTGTATGTTAATTTATATATGGATGCAACTTTGAAGACTACAGATTGGTGGAACCTGATATTAAACTTTTCAATTAGTAAAAACTACTACAGTTATTTAAGACATAAGTTATTTATTAACTAATAGCTTGTACATACTGAATGAATGCATTAATAACAGACTAAGCTTGTAAAAGATGATGTTCTGGGGCTGTGATTTTTCTCAGAACAGATAATTCTAGAGAAGCAATTGCATGCACTTGAATATTTTTCTCCTTGGGGAAGTATTCATGACTGAATGAAAGCTTAAAAAAAAAGTCAAAAGTTTAAAATGTCAAAGTGGCAGTAAATTGAGACCTTTGAGTCAAGTTAGTAATTATTTTTTCTGTGTATTTTGTACATGAGTGACTATAAATATGGTCAAAGAGGAAAGGGGAGGGAAGTTCAGCAATTTTTTATATTCACATTTCTCAGAAGTGCAGTGAATAGCTCAAAATGGGGTAAAAATAAATATGGTCAAAGAGTAAAGGGGAGTGAAGTTTAGCAATTTTTTATATTCACATTTCTCAGAAGTGCAGTGAATAGCTCAAAATGGGGTAAAAGGTCAAATTTTCAAAATTGGAATAGAATACATATGGTAAATATGACTTTTTTTTGTAGTGTGCAAGAGTATTTGTAAAATACTCTTATTGTCGAATTGACTGATGAAATGCTAGTAAAGATTGCTTAATGGGGTTTCAATGCATTTCTGTAATTTATATATATGTATATTTTTGTATGAAAATTATTTAGAAAAAAATGAAAATATAGCATTAGCTGATTTTATTAGTTTTTAGCGTCTATTTTATTTACACTTCAGCTAAAATATCCTCATTTGTCTGTGCTTAAGAAAGCAAGCAATAGCAAAAGACAATTGGCAGTAGATTGAATAACTTGTCTAAGAACTTGTTCATGAATAACATTTTTGTTGTCCTAACATAGGAACTTCCAGCTAAAGAAGAAGAGGATACCAAATCCATAGAGTCTGGGGGAAAGCAAAAATTGAAGAGAGGTAGAACTCCAAAATCAAAAATGAAGAAAGAAAGCAAGTATGAAATAAGTTTTGAACAGTTATTTCTTATTGTGATGATGACTCAGCTGTTAAGTACCCAGCTACTTCTTCCACACTTGGCTGTGCAGGTCTCTCACTCCATCAGCCTGTCCAGCTTGCTGGTCTAATAGGCACCTTTTCCACATTTAAGAAGGTTTGGTTTGCTAATGGAAAAGGAAGAGGGAAAGAATAAAAAAGAGCAGATGGATATTAATTGCATTGGTGACATTGCAATGCTCTTACATGTCACTATAGGACACGAGACAACACGATGCAGACACGCTGTTGCTCTCAAGGCAAGAAAAAAGGGAAGTTTATTTTCTGACTCCAACATTTATAGATTTCCAAAGGTGGCAGTGGATTGGAGGGTGAAAGTGCTACCTCTCCAAGGACACTGGACAAACCAACAGTCCATCAAGTTTCTCCTCCTTCATAAAAGAATGCAAAATAATAAGTTGTTTACAGAAAGTGTGTGAGAAAGTTTGATACAAGAATGCAAACATTAGAAGGCTTAGAAAATCTTAAAAAATCAGAGTAGCACTTAACATTGTCTTATTCCACTTTATGAACTCAAACTCTTTGAGTTTAGCTTCTCATACAAGGTGGGAGATGGCCCGACAATGAATAAAGGGAATGAAAGCAAAACAAACTGATTCATGTACCTTTTCTACCTTAATTCTATCTACAAAGAAGCCCATGCATTTTTTAAAATTGATTTTGGAATTCCATGACATTTTTTTTCTGAATTAAATACTGTTAGTACTGAAAAATTAATTTGATGCCTGTCCTTCTTTTCAGAACCACAAAAGATTCTTGGTCACCTCCACCAGTCGAAATAAAATTCATCTCTCCTTTTGGAAGTCCAGTGGATGGAACAAAAACCAAACAGAAAGAAACTACAGATGCAGCAGGGAAGACCCTAAGAAAGAACAAAAAAAGACTGTCTAATTTTCCAAAGCCAGTTGTGCGCCGGAAGATGCTGTAACTGTTTTTTTTAAGTTTATAATGTACACCACTGTTTGTAAAGTCATCAAAATTGTGTGAATTAGTAAGAAGAAGAAAAATCATCTAATAAGGACACTGGACAAACCAACAGTCCATCAAGTTTCTCCTCCTTCATAAAAGAATGCAAAATAATAAGTTGTTTACAGAAAGTGTGTGAGAAAGTTTGATACAAGAATGCAAACATTAGATCCAAAGGTGGCAGTGGATTGGGGGGTGAGAGTGCTGCCTCTCCAAGGACACTGGACAAACCAACAGTCCATCAAGTTTCTCCTCCTTCATAAAAGAATGCAAAATAATAAGTTGTTTACAGAAAGTGTGTGAGAAAGTTTGATACAAGAATGCAAACATTAGAAGGCTTAGAAAATCTTAAAAAATCAGAGTAGCACTTAACATTGTCTTATTCCACTTTATGAACTCAAACTCTTTGAGTTTAGCTTCTCATACAAGGTGGGAGATGGCCCGACAATGAATAAAGGGAATGAAAGCAAAACAAACTGATTCATGTACCTTTTCTACCTTAATTCTATCTACAAAGAAGCCCATGCATTTTTTAAAATTGATTTTGGAATTCCATGACATTTTTTTTCTGAATTAAATACTGTTAGTACTGAAAAATTAATTTGATGCCTGTCCTTCTTTTCAGAACCACAAAAGATTCTTGGTCACCTCCACCAGTCGAAATAAAATTCATCTCTCCTTTTGGAAGTCCAGTGGATGGAACAAAAACCAAACAGAAAGAAACTACAGATGCAGCAGGGAAGACCCTAAGAAAGAACAAAAAAAGACTGTCTAATTTTCCAAAGCCAGTTGTGCGCCGGAAGATGCTGTAACTGTTTTTTTTAAGTTTATAATGTACACCACTGTTTGTAAAGTCATCAAAATTGTGTGAATTAGTAAGAAGAAGAAAAATCATCTAATTTGGAAGAGATAATTTATATAAATTATTGTAAAATTTCATTAAAAATGGTCTTCAGTAAGTAACTCCATATGGAGTGTGATTTCCTCAGTCAATGCAGTTTTCTATTTTATATTAAGACTTCATACATTTATATAATATGTAAATACAGCTTATTTTAGGAATGTTAAATAAAAATGTATACTTCACAATGTGCTTACTGTCTGATAGCTTTTTGAGGGAATATTGGGTTGAATGACCTGTATTGCTCAGAACTTTTAATGTTGGTTTGTGGGAGTTACAGACTCTCAAAAGTGATTCCAAAAGCTTTTAAAAAGTTTGTTTAGAATTCCTGTAACAAGTAAACATTTTAAGCATACTAGTTTTAATTTTAAAATTATGTTTGACCTTCTGGCACAAATAATTAAACTTACAATACAAACTGGTAATTCTTTACATTCACGGTTAAGTTGTACTGTATTGAAGTCAGAATGTAAACAATTGTGTTTTAAGCTGTGCAATATTTTTTTTTTTGTATTTGTCTTAAACTTTGGGAAAGCTGCTCTTTAGTTCATAAAACCAGATCACACCTCAGATGTGTCATTATTTCTAAAAATTTGTTATCAGCAAAAAGTTAACTGTACAGATGGTGTGATGGTTACCATAGCATATCAGATTTAAAGGGATACTACCCAGATACTTTGAAATTTGAGCCAGAATTATTTTCATAATATGACTGCTACTATAATTGAAATACGTACTGTCTGTAAACATGCTTTGCAGTATTTGAAACCTGCATATCACAGCGCTGAAAACCTGATGGTAAAGCCTATATAATAGTCTGGAAAAGGTACAAAATTGTACAGAAATCTTAGTTACAAACCGTATTTTTGAATAATTGTTTCATTAACAGTCTTGGGTTAAGGATTCTATGTCCCTATAAAGTTTCAATTTGTATAAATAAAGTCACAAACCTATTCTTTTAAAAGCAGACATGGAAGTACTATTTTGATGTGCAGTCTTTTAGACAATGGATTATTTTTCTGTATGTTAATTTATATATGGATGCAACTTTGAAGACTACAGATTGGTGGAACCTGATATTAAACTTTTCAATTAGTAAAAACTACTACAGTTATTTAAGACATAAGTTATTTATTAACTAATAGCTTGTACATACTGAATGAATGCATTAATAACAGACTAAGCTTGTAAAAGATGATGTTCTGGGGCTGTGATTTTTCTCAGAACAGATAATTCTAGAGAAGCAATTGCATGCACTTGAATATTTTTCTCCTTGGGGAAGTATTCATGACTGAATGAAAGCTTAAAAAAAAAGTCAAAAGTTTAAAATGTCAAAGTGGCAGTAAATTGAGACCTTTGAGTCAAGTTAGTCATTATTTTTTCTGTGTATTTTGTACATGAGTGACTATAAATATGGTCAAAGAGGAAAGGGGAGGGAAGTTCAGCAATTTTTTATATTCACATTTCTCAGAAGTGCAGTGAATAGCTCAAAATGGGGTAAAAGGTCAAATTTTCAAAATTGGAATAGAATACATATGGTAAATATGACTTTTTTTTGTAGTGTGCAAGAGTATTTGTAAAATACTCTTATTGTCGAATTGACTGATGAAATGCTAGTAAAGATTGCTTAATGGGGTTTCAATGCATTTCTGTAATTTATATATATGTATATTTTTGTATGAAAATTATTTAGAAAAAAATGAAAATATAGCATTAGCTGATTTTATTAGTTTTTAGCGTCTATTTTATTTACACTTCAGCTAAAATATCCTCATTTGTCTGTGCTTAAGAAAGCAAGCAATAGCAAAAGACAATTGGCAGTAGATTGAATAACTTCCTAAAGGTTTGCAATTTTCTAGTAACTTCTTACTTCAAAGAAGTTTTAATTATGTGTTGACATGTTTCATTCTTTTTTTCCCTTTTTTTGTAACTGGGATTTGGTGCACAGTTCTCCAGTGCAGACCAGTTTCCCTGAGAACAGTTTAAAAAGGAGCCTGAGCATAATGTGTAACAAGGAGTGGGTGCTGAGAAATTTGAAGGACATAGAAGGAAATGGAAGCAAAACCAGATGCTGTGGCTCTGTTTAGAGCC